TGATATTGAGTCTTCCTATTCAAGGAAATGATATATCTTTCCACGTTTCAGATCTTCTTTTATGTTTTTCAATCATTTTCTTTAACTAGGCCTTGTATATTTTCTGCTAAGGTTTATGCCTAGAAATTAGACTTTTATTGTGTTATTAAACAATCTTATTTTCTATTGAATTTGCTACTACTGGTATATGAGGATAGTTTGGTTTTGGTAGGTTCATTTTATATCTGAATAGCTTACTAAATCATATAATGATTCTAATTGTTTTTTAGTTAAATGCCTTGAATAGTCTTACCAGATGCATGCTTTGACAGCTTTAACTCATCAATGTTTCTACCTTTTTTTAATCTTGCTCTATTGCATTGGCTAGGACCAGCTGTATTGCATAAAATTAGTGACAGAAGATACTTTCTATGCTTCCAAAGTTTTATTAGCACATATAATATTTAGTAAGTTAAATAAAGGAAGTAAGTTACCTTCTATCACTAATGAATTTGGACATTTAATCAGGAAAACGTGGTGGAAATTTTTGGCATCTTTTGAAATGATGGATTTTCTTTTATCTTTTACTTTAGTGAATTAAACAGTAGACTTCTTAAGGCTGAGGCATCCTTGCATTTCTATTGTAAACTTTATTGAGTTATAATATGGAATTCTTGTAATATCTTGCTGATTCACTATAATATTATTCATATTTGGGGACTGTATTTATAACAGATAACTTTACATATATATAGATAAAATATCTATATCGGTATTCATATATTTAAAGCTATATGCTACATTTGACTGATTGATTTTTATCATCAGAAATATTCAAGTTACAGAAAGTGAACTGGGCAAGTTTCATTTTTTATTTTATATTTTTGCTTTGGAAAAGTATAAATAGGTTAAAAAATTTTAGGAGAACTTACCCCCAAAAAACCATTTAGACCTTGTACTTTAAAAAAGTACATTAAAAATGTATAGAATTTTTACTATAATTGTAATTGTTTTTATGTTTGAATTTTCTACTCTTTTTTTCATTAACCTTTTTTAATAAATCAATTATGGCATCTATATTTCCAAATTTCTTGTTGTAATATTTGTAACATTTTACATTTGTCTTCTCTATATCTCATATTAACCTTGCCAAAGGTTTATATTACTTTGAATGAACTAGCAATTAGCTGTATAGGTATAGTATCCTTTTTGCATTTTTTTCCCTTTCGGTGGTTGTTTTACTTTGCACTTATACCAATTCTTCATTTTATCCTTGTTACTTATTTTCTCTTGCTTTCAATGGCCATGTAGGTGTTTACTACTTTTGTTGTTGTGGAGTCACATTTTAATTTTTAAAATAGTTATATTTTTAACTACTTTAAAAATAAGAGCTTAAATGCTGTAATTTTTAAAAACCACTTTAGCTGTATTTCATAGGCCTCAATGAACACAAACTTAATTATTATCATAATAGTTTTACACTTAATTTTTAGTTATTCCCTTATCAAATAGATTTTTAATTGCCCAAAAGAGAAACTTTTAAAAAAAATAGTCTTTTGTTGTTAATTTCTATTTGGTGTAGAAAATGTTTCCTTTTTTAATGTTTATTTCTTTATTTTTGAAAGGGAGAGAAAGACAGAGCAGGGGAGGGACAGAGAATCCCAAGCAGGCTCCCTGCTGTCAGCACAGAGCGCAGTGTAGGACTTCAGCCCCTGAACCCTGAGATCATGACCGGAACTGAAATCAAGAGTTGGATGCTTAACTGACTGAGCCATCCAGGCGCCCTATTTTTTTAAAGCCTGTTGTGCCTTATGTACTGTGTTTTTTCTCTTGGAATTTCAGATTTCTTTTGAGATATAATATGTGATTGGTTTTATAAACTGTTTCAGATAATTGAAAATAGTGTTCCAACATTTTAGGGAGGCAGAAAGATAATCAAAATAGTCATATCTATCAATTAAAACACATCTGCATTTTTTAATTTAAATTTTAGTGGGGCGCCTGGGTGGCTTAGTCGGTTAAGCGTCCGACTTTCGCTTAGGTCGTGATCTCGCGGTTCGTGGGTTCGAGCCCCGCGTCGGGCTCTGTGCTGACTGCCAGCTCAGAGCCTGGAGCCTGTTTCAGTCTGTGACTCCCTCTCTCTCTGACCCTCCCCTGCTCATGCTGTCTCTCTCTCTCTCTCCTAGAAATAAATAAAACATAAAAAAAAAAAAATTAAAAAAAAAATAAATAAATAAATTTTAGTTAACATACTCGTTATGTTCATTTTTAAATGCATCTTCATTTGTCTTGTCCTCTTGATCTAATTGTGAAAGAAGTGTTTTGATTTTCCATTATAATGGTAGTTTTGTCAGTTTCTTTTTTTATATCCTATTTTAACTCTTTGCACATTTTTGTTGCTATGTTACTTGGAGTCTAATAGTTCATAATTACCATAATGGTAATTGCCACTACTTTCTCTTTATTTCATTCTTGGCATTCTAAATTTTTTCCCCACATATATTTAGTTTTCAATATTTTATATATTCAATATTGTATGTTTAATCATATATTATATATATTAAATATACGTATTTAATATATACTCATTTATTTCCTTTTATTGTATTTTTGCGTTCTTTCGTTTCTAATATTTTCTGTTACTTTCTTCTATGTATGTCTTTTCTAAATAACACACATCATGATTTTTTTTAACATAACTTTTCTCTTATTTAAGAGGCAGTGCAACCCATTTATATTTAGTGTCTACAGTGATATTATTTAAACTTCTTTTTCATTTTTTGCCACATCATTATCCCATGCCTCTTTCTTGTAGGCTTTTTGATATTGGTTAGAGAGTTTTGGTTCTCTTTTCTATCAACTGGTTTGGAAGCTATATGTACTATTTCCATTCTTCTAAGAGGCACTTAAAAATTTTAGCTAGGAAATTTAAATGGAAACCGTTGTAATCAACAACTGATGACTGTCTATATGCTGCCTTTCCCTCCCAAAAAAACAAAGCCTTTGTCAGGCTTTTAATGATTTATCTTCCTAATCTTCTATGCACTTATGGGTGAAATTATCTGGAGGATTCATTCCAGATAAGTACTGTTAATAGTAGCAGTGGTAATACTATTAGCATGATTAGTATTATTGTTTACTTTATGTCTCTATTTTACAGGAAGACTTTATTAGTCATTGTATTATATTTTACTACCAAATTAGCAGCCATTCTTTAGATTTTTTTTTTTTTTTAAATTTCAGAAAGTGAGAGAGAGCGTAAGCAGGGATGGGGCAGAGGAAAGACAGAGAATGTCAAGCAGGCTCCTGACACAGGCCTGGATCCCATGTCCCCTGGGATCATGACCTGAGGTGAAATCAAGAGTCTGATGCTCAACTGAGCCACTCAGGCGCCCCAACCATTATTTAGATTTAAATAGCATTTTTTTGTGTGACATATTTGCTCTACCATATTTGTTATGTTCCAATTCTTTGTCTAGTTTAGACTTTATTTTTTCCTGTTTTTCTGGAATAATCCTCAGTTAATTTTCTTGTCTTTATTTTCTGAAAAACCAAGAGAGGTCAACTTTGAGCCTTTTCTCATCTGAAAGAAACACCCTCATTTGTCTTTACACATGACACAGAGCTATCTTGGTTATAAAATCCCAGGTTGAAAACAGCTCCTACAAATCCTTATAATCATTTATCTTCTAAAACATTTCAAGTGGATAAGTCAAACATCATTTTCCTCTTTAGACACAGGATTGCCCATTTTCCCATAAGTCATTCTCTCCTAAGTGTTCATTACTATTGTATCTCCAACTGTCCCACTATAAGAACAAGAACTTCTGATTAATAGTTCATAAAGACATTTATAGAGAGCTCTTTCTATCAGTGACAAGCACTTTTCTAACAACAAATTCTACGTATTGGTCAAAAGTCCCCATTTCTGATATTCTATTTATGATGGAAGCAGTTAGTTCCTGAGTCCTAAGACATGCTGTGAATTGTCTTTTACTTACATTAATACATCTAGCCTGCTGGTCCATGAGGATTTCCCTAATGTTTGCTCAGGAAAGGGTACCCTGAATGTCAGTCACTTCCTCTTGTCCTTAACTGTCAAATCTGTAGACCCACAGATGAGTCTTCTTAGGCTATTTAAAATGTTACTTTATTTATTTTTTAGAGAGAGAGAGAGCGCAAGTGCATGTGGCATGCTAGTTGGGGAGGAACAGAGAGAAGGGGAGAGAGAGAGAATCCCAAGCAGGCTCCGCACTGTCCGTGCAGAGCCCAATGGGGGGCACAGCCTCATGAACCCTGAGATCATGACCTGAGCCTAAAGGAAGAATCAGATGCCTAACCATCTGAGGCACCCAGGCACCCTTCCTTAGATTTTAAAAGACACTTTTCTTCCTGTAGTTTGAGGTGTCACTAAGAACTGTCATAAATTCTCTTTCAGTCCATCTGATTTCTTATTAGCAAGTGGGCTTCCACACGTTTGGAACTTCCCTGTCCCCTTCACTCGAAACACTGAGTCTTAAGTTGCAATGAGAAATTCAGGATCGTCAGGTAGAAGGTAAAGTCATAGTTCTTCAGATTAGATGCACATGGATAATATTTTGCTTTGAGCACCATGGCCAAGGAGTTTCACCTGCTGCCTGCAAATACTCTCGTGCTTGATGGCCTCCCTCAGTGACTCTGCTGACTTCCCTCTGGACCTCCTTTCAAGGTTAGGTTCACCATAGTACCGGATTCTAAAACCTCTCCCACCTCGAATCATCTTGTGATCTTTCTTTAAGCCCCATGCCAAGGGACCTACCATCCCTTACGGGTTATCTCTAGTTGCTACTCTGGCCGCCTCCAGTGTATAGATCTTGGATGTCAGTGCCCCCACTGGGCCTCTGAAACAAGTTGCATCAAGTTGTGGCTATCTTAGAATAAGAAGCATGGAGAGTGCATCAGCATATAAAGAGTGCAGACAGGCATGACTGACTCTGGCCATCTGATCACTCTGTGTGTCCCTCTGTCTTGCCCCCTTTTAGGTGGGAGGACACACCATGCTTCCCATCCGTTGGATGCCCCCTGAAAGCATCATGTACCGGAAGTTCACTACGGAGAGCGATGTGTGGAGCTTCGGGGTGATCCTGTGGGAGATCTTCACCTACGGAAAGCAGCCATGGTTCCAGCTCTCAAACACAGAGGTACCGAAGGGGGTAGATAGGAGCTCAATTTGGGTGAAGGCTGATAGGGCATAGCTCAGGCCAGGACTTAGACGACTTAGACACAGTATCCAAAACATTAGGTGGGGTTTTGAGCCAGCGGGGCATATATAGGCATAAGCAAGAATGGGGAGCTTCTTAGTAGGAAAAAAAAATTATAGCTGTAGGAATTGTGGTGTAATTGTCAAGAGAGCATGAAATCAGATGTCTCGATTGAGATGCGAGTCACTGTCCTGTTTATTCTGCTACACTTAAACACCACACGTGTTTCACTAAGACAGAAAATGAAAACAAAAAACAACTCTGGGTTTTTCAATTGTGCCATCTTGTGGAAATACCTAAATAGTCTGGATTCCCAAAGGTTTTAGGCAGCCCAGGGAGGCGCAGCATGGTGGGTCGGGAAGGCAAATTTCACTGTCTTGATAGAGCTACGTTATGTGGAGTTCCAGGAATAAAAAGACTCATAACAGCAAACACAATAATAATGAACACATTCTATATTGTCTTTATAGTTTTGATTTATAATAGTAATAATAAAAATGTCAGTAATCAGGTTTGAACCATGGTTAACATTTATTGCCAGGTATGTTTCTAAGCATGTTAGCTGTAGTAACTCAGTACTTTTCACAGATGCCTGTCGAGATTCAGGGCAAAGGGAAGGGACCTGTTTGGGGTTCTGGAGAGGACTGGCCAGAGTCTCAGAGGTGGAAGCTTCTGTGGCATGGAGAAGGTTTGGGCCATGGTCACAGGAGTCCTCACTTATGTCTGGACCAGTACAGTTAGTAGACAGTAAGAGGCTCAGATTCCCAACCAAGCAGACCTATAAGAGAATGAAATTATTTTTATAGTCTTGTGTTTTCTAGGAAAACATGAATATAAGGGCCTTTTATTATTTTTTTATTATTATTTCTTTAATGTTATTTATTTTTGAGAGAGAGTGAGACTGCGCTAGTGGGGGAGGTACAGAGAGAGAGGGAGACACAGAATCCAAAGCAGGTTCCAGGCTCTGAGCTGTCAGCACAGAGCCCTACACAGGGCTCAAACTCAAAAACCATGAGATCATGACCTGAGCCAAAGTGGGACGCTTAACCTATGAGCCACCCAGGTGCCCCCACAAGGGTCTTTTAATCTTATAATCTTTTCTGAATATTCAAGGAAGTATCTTTATTTTGGGAAGCTGTGTTCATCTCTGTTCACCTGTTCCCTGACCAGTAAGTTTCTAAGACAGGAAAGAAGGCATTCCTTTGAGCCTAATATCTCATCAATCACAAGCTAAATGAGTCTTAACCACATTTCCCAAAGTAGGACAAGACATTTTAATGACCTTTAAAAAAAGAAAGGGTGTGTATCTGAGCCCATTTGTTGCAGTGTTTTAAAAAATTGTTGCTGTTGGGGTTGGTAGCAAACACAAACATACACACAAGCATGCACACATATACATACACACAGGCTTATGCCCACCTGCATACATGCACATGCATAAATGTGCACACACGTGTGCTTATGCCCACCTGCATACATGTGCAAACATGCATGCATGCACATACACACCTGCATACATGCACATGTGCATGCACATGCACAAGTATATGTGTGCTCACATACATGCATGTGTACATATGCCTCCCCCTCATACATGCACGGGTGCATACACATGTACAAACATGTGTGTGCACAAGCACGCACATCCTGAGCAGAGCCCCTATGTAGTTTGGTGGCCCCAGTAAAGAGGTATCTGGACTGAGGGACTGTTGGTGTCAGTGAAAGATCTGCCCTGGAAACCCAAGCTGGCTTTTAGTAACCAAGAAGGTGTTTCTGATCATTTCTTTTTTTTTTTCTTAATGTTTATTTATTTTTGAGAGAGTGTGCAAGTCAGGGAGGAGTAGAGAGAGAGGGAGGCACAGAATCTGAAGCAGGCTCCCTGCTCTGAGCTGTCAGCACAGAGCGCAACGCGGGGCTCAAACCTATGAACTGTGAGATCATGACCTGAGCCAAAGTCGGATGCTTAACCGACTTAACCACCCAGGTGCCCCAATGTAACTGCTCATTTCTAACACAGTTCCGTGAGGCAGTGGCCTTGAAGGTGGGCTTTCTGTCCCCTAGCCACCTGTCTCACTCCATCCCCAGAGCAGCCAAGTGCTGGTAGCCACTGACCATGAGTTTCTTACGGAAGTTGACAACCTAGCTAGCCCCACACTGGAGAAGACACTGCTGAGCACTTTGGGTTGCAGCGTTAACAGCTGCTGCAGTCTGAGCTGGGTCTCTTTCCATGGGGGTGAAGATAATGGAGTGTGGAGACAAGGCTCCGATAAGAATGGAGAATATGAGTAGCTGGAGAACTATCGGGCTGGCACAGAAATGAGTCTCATGGGCTGGCGCCAACCCCAGGGTGAGCAAGACCAGGAAGGTAGTGACACAGTGAAGGTTTGACAGGCTGTCGTAGGGTCAGAGTGACATGAGACAACATGGCAGTGTTGAAGGCAGCATGAGGAGATAAAAGAGAACAAAGACACTTCCCTTGCCCAACTAAACACAGACTAATGGGGGCAGAGATACTGGAGGCACTCAATGGAGGTGATTCTGTGTATTTTTTTCATTACAATGTATCTCTGAACAAGGAAACTGGAGTTTGGGGTAAGTTGCCCAGGGTTTCACAGTGATCGAGTTAGAGAGGAGTTAAAACCAACCCAACATATGGAAGATGAAATCTTGAAAAGCCACATATTCGATGTCAGCAAAGAAGTGCCTTTGATGGGGCACCTGGGTGGCTCAGTTGGTTGGGCATCCGACTCTTCATTCCAGCTCACATCATGATCTCACCATTTGTGTGTTCAAGCCCCACAGCAGGCTCTCTGCTTACAGTGCGGAGCCTGTCTGAGATTCTCTCTCTCCCTCTGTCTCTGCCCCTGCCTGTTCGTGCTCACCCTCCCTCCCTCTCAAAATAAATAAATAAACATTTAAAAAAAGAAGTGTCTTTGAGAAATTGGAAATGAATCTCAAATTACAAGAGTGGTCCTTACATGGCCAGCTGGGGTGGGTCCTGCCGAACATTATTTTTCTTCCTACTCCTTAGAGCCTCCCTTTCAGTTTGGCTACGATGTGTGCTCTTGACTTCATTTGCATTTTACGACACTCAGGAGGTAGTCAAGGCAGACATTTGATCCCCATCTTCCAGATGAGGGTGCCGAGACCCTGTGAGGTTAACTGACTTGCGCTGGCCACCCAGCTGGGCAGTGGTGAATCATTCAGTAGTCCTCGTGTGAAGGATTTTCACAGAAACCAAATATGTGGGGTAGGGCAAAGAGAAGGGGGTGGGGGCTTGTTGAGAAAGGGACCCTCAAGGTGGCTTAGAGATAAGCCAGGTGCTCTGTGCAGAGGCTGGGAGTGGGAGGGGAGCTCTCCAGGAAGCAGGAGCTAAGGGGAGGGAGGCATGGAGGGGCCAGATGGTGCACAGCTCCTTCAAGGGGGTTTCAAAGTCACCCAGGCTCATAAGAGGGGAGGGACAGGTCAGATGCCCGTCCCCACTGCCAAGTAGCAGTGAATGCAGCGTGGCATTCAGATGAGATTGAGGACCGGAGGGGAAGAGTCAAGTACCTGGAAGAGTATATGCGGGGAAATCTGTGCAGACCTGGCCTGAGGGGCGGGGCACAAAGGGCAATAGTGGGTGTGGCCAGCCAGCCACCTGCACAAGACAGGGGAGCAATGTGGTGCTGTCTCCAGCCAGCCTTCCGCCATGCAGGCAGGGGTCCCGGCTCTACACTGGAGCCCCTCCGTGAAGTTGTCACCTGCTGCTTGCTGGGTGTGAGCCGCGGGGCCCAGGCGGGGCTTTGGATGTAATGTCCTGCTACTTCTCACCTTTTCAGGTCATCGAGTGCATCACCCAAGGTCGTGTGCTGGAGCGGCCTCGAGTCTGCCCCAAAGAGGTGTACGACATCATGCTGGGGTGCTGGCAAAGGGAACCCCAGCAGCGGCTGAACATCAAGGAGATCTACAAAGTCCTCCACGCTTTGGGGAAAGCCGCCCCCATCTACCTGGACATCCTCGGCTAGCGGTGGCTGATGGTCACTTATGCGTACTCGATTGCCTCCTGTCTCCCGGCCTCACATCTCCCCCTGTCCACCTCACACTCCTTTCTTCCATCCTGACCGAAGCGAACATCTTCATATAAACTCAAGTGCCTGCTACACATACAACACTGGAAAAAACAAAAAAAACAAAAAAAAAAAAAAAAAGAAAGAAAGAAAAAACCCTGTAAGGCAGTTTGGCGAATATATATATATATATACACATATATATATTTATATATCTAACTATCTATCTATCTATATCCACAGAGAGATACCTTCTCTAATACAGAGAGAAGCTGCTGACCCAGAAACCGTTAAGACTGAAACAACGACTCACAAAATCTTAAATATTACGAACACAAATGGAAACTCCCTTTGACGGAAGCTGGGGTCCGTGCTTTTTTTTTCAGCTCCCTCTTTTCAGAGCCGAAGACCTTGATGATGCAGAGACAGTCCTCATGCTGGCACAGGAGGAGCGGGGGTGGAGTGCGAATTGTTCAGGTGATTACCTGCACAGATGTGTTTCCCCTCCCCTGCCCCCTCCCAAAGCTCTGCACAGGTGCAACAGCAGACCCCCTCAACTGCACTCAAGATGCAGTGGGAAGTAACACCAGACCAGAGGCCTCTGGAAAGGCCTTGCATCTCCCCTGACTATTGCCTCCACACCTTCTTCTTTCCTCCGCTTCAAGACAGTTCTCCAATGCGTCCATTCTGGAAAGTAGAGTCCTGATGCTTTTGGAAGTCAATGAAGGCGTCTACCAGTAAACACCGAATAACGAACAACACACAAACCCGTGATGACAATGGACTTCATCTGTCTTGGGTAGACACCATGCTCACGTTCCTTCCTAAATCTGAAAGGGATGTGCCGTTTATTCTCTGAACCTCAAGAACTGGATGTTCTGGACTTACCCACAGAAGAAAAAGCTGAAATTTGAACCCTCCCTGGCAAGGCACTGCCTCTCATCTTTCCCTCATTGGAAAGACTCCTTGGCCCCGCCTCCCACATTCAGGCCTTTGGGGGAGTTTTGGGGTAAAGGGAACGTCCCCCGTGCTGCCTGCAAGTGCGGACACGGCAGAGTTCCGGTAGCAGGAGACTTCGTTCCTTGTAGGTCCTTCTGTGTCCTCTGTTCCTCAGCCCCCACTTCCTGGGCCTCTGGCAAGTCCCAGGTGAACCTCACTGCCAGGGAAGGAAGCCAGGTCTAGTGAGAGTGGGGGGCAGTGCCCTTTTTGGGTAGCGAGGCGACACGATGGGCAGGAGCCAGCAGGGGAGAGTCTATTTGGCGCCTGCACCGGCCCCTTGGCATTCTCCTCACGTTTCCAGCCCCTGGAAGGATTGATGCATCTGCCTTTGAGCTGCTGTGGAAATGCAGGGGCTGAAAAATCGCTTTTGTGGGTTGGGGGCGGGGAAGGGGCCGGGGCTTCTCTGGGAGGGGTCCGCTGCAGGCCACGGCCACAGGCTCGGCATCTTAATGAGGCCTGAGCCCTGACCAGGGAGAGAGAATGAGGCATCTGGGCTGGGGTCCTGGCCGCTGCTGTCAAGGGCTGTCACGGGGGCAGGTCTCTGGGCCTCCCCGACCACGTGACAAGGAAAGGCCTCCTGAAGGCAACAGCCCGGCCCCTCCCAGCTCGCCGGCCCCTCCGCCTCACCCCAAGCACAGAGCTACCTAATGGACTGACCTTTGCCCAATGGGAGCGTCGGGGAGTGGGGGGCTCTGACCTGCACCGTGCCCTGCTAGCCGGAGGGGCTGTCCGCAGCCTGGCCGGTCTGGTCAGCGCGGTGCGGGCATCCCTGTGGGGTTCGGGACTAAATCCTGTATTTGTGGTTTTGCTTTGTTTTTTTGGTTTTTTTTTTTAGACCCACAAATGTTTTTATTCCAATAGAAAAGAGCTGTGCTCGGACTGTAGGCCTCGGGTGGGAGTCGGGGATCCGTGGGGCCGCTCAGCGGGGCTGGGAGGGGAGCCAGAGTTTGGTGTGGGTTTTCCACTGGGCTGCGTTCCCAACCCAGAGGACTTCGGAGGAGAGCTCGGTGGACTGACCGCCTCACAGGAACCCATGGCTGTCTTAGGGCACGTGTCCCTCCTGTCTTTCCTCCTGGAGGCCCTGGCTCTATTCTGGGGCCTCTAATGCTGGCAGAACTCTGCCGTCTGGTGTTGAGCAGGGTAACTAAGAGAGAGGTGTGCATGGAGGGTGGGCCTTGAGGGGAAAGGACCTTCTGGCTGGAAGTGAGGCTCCAAGGCTCCTATTGCTGCCAAAACAGACCCCAGATATTCTCCCCCGAAACAGACCTTGTGTGACTTCCATCTCACAGGCTGTGTTTCTAGAACCTCATGGTCACTGATAGGCTGGGAAGAGGGGGCATGAGAAGGAGTTGGGGGCTGCTGGAAAGCTGGGAGCGAGGAACCTCCTAGGGTTTCAGCTCAGGGTGCAGAGTCCTCACGGCCTAATGGAAGCAGACAGTTTCTTCGGGAGCAAGGAGCCCTGGAAGAGACTGACGTTGTTCGATTGTACAGGCCCTCATGTTGGCCATGGGGACGCGTCTTCATCATGTCCACTGTAAGCAGCTGCCTCATGTAAGGGCAGAGCCAGGGGCAGCAGAGAGGGAGGCCCGGCTCTCTTACTTCCTTGTTGTGCTCTCTATACAGTCTACGTATTGATTACGTAAATGCAAGGGAAAAAAAAAATTGGGGGGAGGGGGAGGGAGGCAGAGACTAGGTCTGTAGTCACTGAAGGGGCACCCAGGGCCCTGGGGCAAGCAGACGACATTATCCCTCCTGTGGTGGGAAGCTCGGCTGAGACTTGCTCTGCTGTGTCTCAGTCTCCTGTCTGTGAAACGAGAGGTGCCTGTTCATCTCCGGCCCCTTCAGGGTCTGAAGTGTGTAGGTTCTCACAGCGCTGAGTCCCTGTGCCATTGTTCTCGGTAGCGCCCTGAACGCCAGGCTGGCCCTTCAGGGTGGCCCTCCTCGGGCCTTGCGTGGGCAGGGCCAGCTGCCCCTGGGAGCTCGAGGGCCTGGGGGCACATGGGTCCTGTGAGACACTCCTCTCCGTTTTGGCACCTCTGCCACAACGTGAAGTGTCCCAGATAGCTTTAGACCCGGAGGGCACATTTGGTCTCATTTCCCCCTCCCCAGCCTCTTTGCACACCCAGAAAGCTCTGGTGAAGGCCTATTCATCTATTTATTTTCAAAGAGCTCAATGCGGCTAAACGAGTCTTATAGTGACATCCCATCAGCCAGTGTGGCCACCCCAGTCCACCCCACTGTCACCCCCCCCCCCATACCGATATCTACATTCTTTTTTAAAAAAAGCACGCTAGAGGGACTGTGAAGATGTGGCTGGATGCACACCCCATCGTGAACGTCAGGGGAAGCTCCGAGTCACCGGGGCTGACCTCCTGCCATGACCTCTTCACCTGGTCCCCTGCTGGACTAAGTGACAGTGGCCTGCTGTTGGGTGCCCACCTTGGAGTAAGGAGGCATGGCCAAGGTTCCTCCCTGTTCTTGACTTTGGACGTGAACCAGATGTCGCTCTCTCGTTGTATCCCTGACCTCTGAGTGGATCAGGAGACTCACTGAGCCCTCTCTGCTAACCTTCCCCTCTTCTCTAGTGATGCTTATACCCTGTGGAATATACTAGTGCAAATATTTTTGGTGCTAATACTACAGAAACCAACACCAACAGGAGAGCTGACAGCCAACTTCTGGGGGTGCATGAGACTCCCCCTCAAAAATGGAAGCGTCCCTTGTGTCGGGATAGTACAGGATGCGTGGGAACTTGGGTGCGAGCATGCAGGGATATAGAAAGACGGTCGAAATTCCTGGCTCTGCTCGTGGCTCCCTGGGTGGCCATGGCCAGGTCATAATCTCTCAGTATCAGATTTCTCATCTGAGACATTTAAGAGGCTAGAATAGATATCCTTAGGATCCTTCTCTGTTAAAAAAAAAAAAAAAAAAAAATTCTGTTCTGCTCCCACCTATTTTGTTTTGTTTTGTCTACTTTCTTACTTGCTTAGCAGAAATAAGAGACAAAGTGAAAGGCAGGGAAGGAAGGGAAGGAGGAAAAGTTACCCAAGGCAAGAAATTGCTTATGGAAGGCACACAGGGAAGAATATAGTGATCAGTAGGGTTAAGGGATATTGGGGGAGCAGGCACATAGGCTCACCAGCTGCCACCTGGCCCCATGGCTGATGTCCACAGGCTCCCCTTCCTCAGCTAGCTGGATACTTCATTCCACACCAACATACCCTAAGCTGGCAGAAACTATTCCAAGATAGGGAGACAGGCCTGCACACCTCTCGTGAAGGCCACTGGCAATTGGAACTCAAAAACCAACAGATGTTTCTCTTCAAATGCTATTTCCAGGAGGTAGGCTGTTGGAAAGAGGGTGGTATTTTAGGATGCAGATTCTTCACCAGAGTCCTCTTCCCTTCATGAATGATGTTGAATGGCATCCTTGCTCCTCTTTTTCCAAACCAAACAGCAGCCATATTGTCTTGTTCGAGGTGTAGTTATTGTAACAGGCAGTCTTGGGCTTTGAGATCTTCCCATGCTTTGCTTAGAGTCTGAAGTCAAGAGACGCCTATAGGTGTTGATTGAATGAGCCATGTCCTGACAGGCTAGAGGACCACCCTCAGATGCCCCCAGGATGGCTGTTGTCAGCATTGGTGGAACCAGCCTGCTAGAGTACCCAGTGGCATTTGTCTTAGAGCAAGAAATGGCACCTTTAGCTCAGGGCTTTGGTGATCCCTGTGCACCAAATTTTTCTTTGATACCAAATAAAATCTTCTGGCTAGCACTTAGTAGGTTTTAAAGGGAAATTCCAAGTCTTTGTATCGTTTTTAAGATATCAATGTAGACTCCAGAAAATGCTTTGGGATTGCTTAAGGTCATTGGTAGCATCATCTGAGGGGAAGTATACATTGTATACAAGGCCCATATACATTGTATGCTTGTGTCTATATATTTAATTAGACTGGCTTCAGTGAAATTTTGCTTGGACTTAGCAAATGGATTCCTTGATGTTTAGTCTCTGAGTCTCACATTCCTTGGAGATGAGCTATCCAGAGATGGACTGTCCTATGAGAGACAGAAAGATGCTCTTGAGAAATCTGTCATCTTGTAAAA